TAGATGTACGTGGATTCTGGGCCCACGACAACCGAGAAAATCTTCTCCAGGAAGAAGAAGAGCCACAAGAAGAAGCATAAGCTCTAGATATCTCATTAATCATGTGAGATTTAGTTATATCAATTTGTCTCGGTTTTATAGTCCTGAAAGTAGTAGAATGCATGTATATTTTGCAGTTTGATTGGAAAAACTACTGAAATTATTTGTAATGTAGAAGTTTAGTAGTGTAACCATCAAATTTCTCTCTCCAATGTATTGTTGAGGAATGGCCGAATGGGTGACGTGTTCTTCAATTTCAATTTATCTATTACTTTTCTGAATGATAAGATTACCTTCATAGGCTTTCGTCTTTGAAAAAAAAAAAAAGGCAAAATTAGGCCATGTACGGTCCATTCATTAAAAAATTGATTAATACACTTTAAATTTTTTAAGGTTTCATTAACTTTAATTAACTATAAATTTTTCTGTTACAGAAACCAAATAAGACAGAAACTAATCTAATCCCACCAACAACTCACCATTCCTTCCATTCATTTGATTCTTGCAAATGAATGTGTGGATCGACATAAAAAGGGGACACAAATGAAGAGATTTCGTTTTTTTCTCTCGCCACCAGTTATCATACCAAATTTTACTATTAATCATTCATGAATCAATCCCAACCAAATCCTAAATCTGTTATTTCTTTATGGTGATTTCCGGTCAATACTCTTTTGGTGTTTTTTGCCCTATCATTACCGCATTCCTCGTTGTCATGATAGGTGGTGTTTTTCTACTCCGATTTCAAGTTCTTTGTTCGCCTCTCTCGCTCGCTCGCTCGCTCGCTCACGCATATTTTCTTGGGTAATATTTATTTGATGAAAAATAGTGGAATGCATTGTGAAATCGTGAATTAGAGGACGGGTTAAGATGTTTTGAATGAAAAAAGATTGAGTTCTGGTTTTTTGGTTTCTTTTTTAAGTATAAATTCATAGTTTAATCAGAAAAAAATTAGTTGTGGACCTTGTGGTTTTTATGTAATCGTTTCGAGATCATTGGTTAAGACACTCATTGTTGCACTAGTATTTATTTACATCTTGAGTGTATAGTTTGCATCTTATGCCTATGGTTAAAATTCTTAAATTGCTAGCTTAATTTTTAAAGATTTGAATTGTCAGGTACGATTTCTTGTTCGATTATGTTCATCAGTCTATGATTTCGGATTTTGTCAGGATTATTGTGTATAATTTTGCTCATGAATCAATCATTCTCAAATTCAATTTCTTATTAGAGATGTTATTTGATAGTTTTGGTCATTTACTTTCATGTTAATGGAGATGTTGTACATTTAGTTGCTACTGGATGAATTTGAAATTGAAATTAAAGAACTCAGAGAGGAAGTTGTGTGGATGGAGAGGAAGAGAGTTCCTGATTCTTCATTTCACATGCCCTTGTGGCAAATGTTAGAAATCTTTCTCTCTGGAAACAATTGTTGCTACAAGCTCACAAATTTCTAAATTACTAATCTCAATCCTTACTTAGAAGATTTCGATATGATCAGTAACGAAGAATCGACACCTTTTTTCCTTGCTTATCAAGTTTGTGTCTACCAATTGTACAGAAAATGTTGGATGGATAATATTCATAGTAGCATGGGTACTATAGGATTTCAGCTCATAGATTATCGATGAGGCAAAGATGGAATATGCATGTGATGAACAAACACATGTAAATGATTTAGGAAAATATTTGATATAGATGACTTCTATAGAAGTGACAAGCTATATCATTTTTTCCTAACTCTTGATATTTTTCTGACAAAATCCAAGGCGAAATATGATGCACAATGTTACAATAAGAATTGTCACTTTTTTTTTTCGAATGTGTGCAACTTTTTTAATGTGTTATTTTTTAAAATTCGTCACTTCTTTAAAATTTATGTCACTTTTTTTAGTGTTTGTTATTTATTTTCAGTCGTCTTCTTGAAATATCAATCATTTTTTAGTAACAAACATCACTTTTTAATAAAAGTGAGATTGTAAAAAATGACATTAAATTTTTAAAAGTGACATTGTGTAAGTGATAATTTTATCATTTTTTTGTGTGTTTGTAACTTTTTTGAGGGTTTGTCACTTTTTTTGCCACTTTTCTGAATT